CCACCTTGCGAAGATGCCCCGTTATTCGCTTCAAGAGAGACAACAATACCTACCCTTTCCGGGCTAGTCTGTCGCCGCGGAGAGGCATCTGTTTAAAGACTCCTCTGTGCAGATCTGACTTACTCAACGACTGAAACCATGACGAACGCACAATAAGATGCCACATCCCCCGAGTCCCAGCTCTGGAGTCAGAACACGTACCGCTGCGTCGCAGCTCCTCCCACTTCCACCTAGTCATGGGGTACCCTCTGTACCTGTCCTCGGATATTTTTGTCCTGCAAAGCACAGCCAGCGCGATATCGCATACGCAGCGTCCTGCTGGCAGGACCATATATGCGGACTCTTCTGTGCCCCCACTATACTCTTGGACAACACGGTCCAGATGAGGTGTTGTATCGCCTTCCTGTGCCCTGTGGCACTGCTACAGGCTGTGCGCTCGCACTACTGACCACGACTAACATGGGTAAAGGACGTCTCACGGCATATAAAGAGATCTTCAAGAGTGCATGCCACTTGTTTTCTCTCCATCGCCTGCACTCTCCACAAATAACATATCCATCGTATACAATAACTATACCCCAGCATCTACCTATGAGCACGATATCTCCTGCGATTGTTGTTCCCGTCCTACAACCCGCTCTGGTCAGCTTCGTACGTTCGCAACCTCACGCTCCTCAACTCCGCTGACGACATTTGTTCAGTCCCCGGCGCCATCCTGTACCACACTTGTTTCATACCCGTATGTTGCTTGTGCTCATTCTGCTGTCCCTTTGCTCATCATCTTGTTTTAGACCGACATGGCAAGTCTGGGAAACACCGTGTCTTTCGCAAGCGGTGCTCTACTCTCCGGCAGTCGTCTACCCAGCACCCGCATTAGCGTACCCGATGGTACCTGTGGCGCCTGGCGTGAATCCCTGGCAGCGCTGGTCCTTCGTCAGGCTATGAGTGACTGTGGATGAATGAGTCTACGTCTTCCGCATGGCGCGTTTGTTCGAATCATGTTGACGGCTGGTGAGGATCTTGGCGGTGACTAAATGGTTTCTGTGACATTACACCTTGTATCGTTAGCTGTGGAATACTTGCATATCTACCGAGAATCCCATCCCGTTACAACTTATACCCAGCTTGTTGCCGCCGTAGTACCCTGTCTAGTTTCGCTGGTGCATTGTTCGAGTTTCCGACTCGCTGTCTTGTTCAAGCTGCCTCTACTTTCCGGACCTTGACTAGTACTTGCGCTTTTAGTGTGCTTATATCTACTTAAACTTCAATCTGATATATTTATGATGTTGTTCTACGTGGTCAGCACAAGCGACAGAGACGATGAATGTCCGGGACGTTCAGCAACACTCGTCTTTTTCACCCGAACGCTTGCGAAGCGTCGATGTCGTTATCAAGCGCTCGCATGCTTTGTCCCGCCACTGTGTATCATGTCTTCGCGTTGATTCGATGTAGATGTACCCTGCGTCAGACTGGATGGTGCTCTCCTGCGGTAGCATGAATACACGAGGCTCGGCGTGTCTTAGTAATTAGTGACCGGTTTTGCCGAACCGCCAGTACTGAAGGTGACTGTAGTAGGGCGTGAAGGCCATAGGACTTGCATGAGCTGCTATCAAGAGGATCTCGGCCTTGAGACCCGGGAGGCTATGTATTCAGCAATTATATTCAATAAGTCATATCCCCCTCATCATTTTCTCATCGGATGCATTACGACGGCCCCAGCCATAAACCGTTGATAGGTTTATTCCCAAAAACCTGCGCAGATTTCCGGTCTATCACTTCTCTCCATACCATTGCTATGAAACCTAGGTGATGCCCATGGGTTTCACCTGAGGGCAAAGCTCATTAATGTTCCGACCTTCATACCTTGCCGGATTACTCCTCAAGCATCGCAGCCACCACTGGGCTTCTTCGCCAGGTCAAGCGAAGCAAAACTCTCGCCCGGACGCTTGAGCCTCCCTTTGGTGCACGTACTGATGTTATCAATAAATTAATCTGAAGATACGTACATTACTTCGAATTTTTGCCCTGCGAAAGAAAGATCAGCCGCTGTTCTTATGTGGCAACAGAGATTGTACGACTTGCCTCGGGCCTTGTCGGCGGGCTGCACGGCCTCGTTCAGTCTCTTCCGAGAGCCGACTGCCTCTGATCTGGCTGAACTCGGGCCGCTTCTTCGGGTCCGGGCTCGCCGCGACGAACTTTCCAACGTCCTCTGCGCGCGTCTGCACGAAGGGTAGAGAGCGATCGCTAGGAAGCACCACCTTGCAGTGCTCGATGTCAAACATTTCGATGAGTGGCTGCAGGTGCTCCAGATCCGGTGTTCCGTCAGCGAGGTTATACATGAAAATACCGACCTCATAGATCGTTTATTCGAGCTCGCTCTACTTCATCGCCTCTGCGGCCACTCGGCTTAGTAAAACTCGACGAGATCGTCCGGAAACTGGCGCAAGGAGCACTTACTCGGCGCGGAACGCTTGACTTCCCCCTTAGTGACAGTAGCGTCGAGGAGCGCGAGCTGGCTGCGGCTGCGTGAAAGCGTCAACGTCGACGCCAGCGATGATCGAGATACCGAGTTTGTCGAGGGCGGGGCGATTCAAGCTGCGGGAGAGCATGATGGCCTCGTACTTGTCGGCCTCGACTATGTCCTCCACGATGTGCAGGCCGATTCCTCCGCTTCCTCCTGCTGCTGCGACTTGAATCGTTGTGATAATTGCTAATGAAGTACCGTGTAGATAGCTAGCCGCAATCTACAGCGCGTCGTCACTCTTCGATCCAGGGTGACCACGCCCCCATACTGATCTCCAGCAGAAGTGCGATGGTGAATTAGCTAATGGCTCCAAAAACGCAATGACACATAGCTCCGGCGTGCTATGGTATACGTATGCTCATCTGGATCTTCCGTGGGGTTGCGGTGCTGCAGCTGACGAGGACAGCATGGTGCGTAAGTGCGTCCTGGGCAGCTGATTATCAATAATAATGCTACCTTGGGTAGCCCTCTCCTGTGCTCGCATGCCATGCATGCCACGGTCACCGTATGCCTAGTCTTCAGATATTTCTGGTGCGTAAACTCAAGTACTACTGCGCGCCTGGAAGGACGACGGTGGGCAAGCAATCAACCATGCCGCTTGCGCTGTTATCGCCACTACAAATCCTGGCATGGCATTTCGGCAAAAAACGCCGCGCTGCTTACTTGTATCCTTGACAAAGGCTCGTCTCTAAAGTGCAGTACAGTACTTCTGTTGAATCCCCGTCGGAATCGGGAATTACTTACCTGCTATGTCATCTGCAGCCGGGGGTTTGTTTAGCCCTGTCAGCTACTCACAAACGTTTGTATAATCTCCGTTTAATCTTCTTGTTGCTTTCACGTTACCTGGCACTTGACTCGGTCACCACATTGCCCATCCTTCGACAACGTTCAACAGTATTTGCCTTTCCGCGGGACCGCCGCGAAGCGCCCCGCTTAGTCACCGACCTATTATCGAGCGCTCTTTATATTACGTAAGCTCTCTCTCGAGGTCGGCGTCACATAATTATCTTAGCAGCAAGATTCTTGATAGCTCTCGTGACATGCCCTTGCCAAATATATTGCGAAGACAGTGCTCTACTCAAATTTCGAAAAGTCAGTCATAGATCTTCGTACGATTATTCTCTACAAACGGCGCTCGTTTTACAGGTTCTTTCCCCACCATTCTTGCAGGAAATCAGCAATACACACGGGCTTCACCTGAGGAAAAAGTTCGTTGAGGTTTTTGCCCTCGAATCCGGTCGGATTCCTCCTCAAAGCCTCCAGCCACCACTGGGCCGAGAACTTCTCCCGATCGAGCGTGCCAGACTTTTCATCACGTTGCTCAGGTGATACCTGGTTTCGCGAATTGAGGGTCTCGACCAGTTGCGCCTCAGGGAGGTATGTCACTTCGAACTTTTGACCTGCGAATACATAAGAGGCTGACTTTGCATGTCGACAGAAGTTATACGACTCACCTCGGACCTGCTCCGCGAGCTGCAATATCTCATTCAGCCTCTTCCTGTCTCCCCTCATCTGGCTAAACTCGGGCCACTTCTCCAAGTCCAAGCTTGCCGCAACGAACTTCCCAATGTCCTCCGCTCGCGTGTATACGAGGTACGTGGATCCGTCTCCAGGCAGCGTCGCCTTGCAGTTCTCGATGTCGAACATGAATTCGCGTGGGGGCAGGTGCCCGGTGCCGGCGGTGCCGCTCGCGAGGTAGTTCATGAAGATGCCGACCTCGTAAATTGTGTACTCGAGTCCGCTCTTCTTCGCCGCCTCTGCGACAGGCCACTTGAGACGATAGAGGTCAATAAGGCTGTCTGGGGCCGACCGCGCAGCGAATTCGCTTGGCACGAAGCGCTTCACGCCCGCCTCGACGGCTGCGTTGAGGAGGGCGAGCTGCGGCTTCGTGAAAGTGCTCTCTTCGAAGCCGGAGATGGTGGAGATGACGGTATGCACGCCTTCAAGGGCTTTGGCTAGGGCGGCGTGGTCGTCGTACGAGACGGCGATGATGCGAATGCCGATCTTGGCAAGGGTGGGATGGCTCGAACGGCGAGAGAGCACGACAACTTCGTGGCGCCCGGTCTCAATGATGCCTTCGACAATGTGGAGACCGATACCGCCTGTGCCGCCTGCGACTGCGACTTTGACCATTGTGGTGAGTGTGGAGATAATGAAGCGGCGTGCAGATGCCTTGTAGTTTGCTTTTCGTTCCAAGCTGGCAGTCCACGCCTTTATACTCGCCCTCTAGACAGCGTGCTTAGAGATTGGAGCGAGGCCTCGATGACTCATAACGCTGTAATACGCGCACATAATCGTTTCCGTCGGGCCTCGATGTCATGTGTTGGACATCTATTTTGGTCCCTTCTTCTGCTCCCAGGTTTTTGTGCTTTGTATTCCGTCCGTCTGCTCTTATTAGTGGCTGACGAAGTTCAGTTCCTTACTAAATCCTGCCGAGCCTCTGCAAGCGTAGTCAGCAGAATTGTACTATTTACATACTGATGAGCTTTATGTAACAAGCACACAACGGACAGTCGACCACCGCTAAGCAGTACGCTAGCATGTGCAGATATTGCCGCACACATGGTACGACGATGATAACTAAGCCCATCCTCTGTTCCAATGGCTCTGTCATCATCGACTTCCACCGTGGATGTACGACATGAACGACTCAGCAGAATATTTTCGGCGAACTTTGTCATACCGTGTTTCTCTCGCCCCTGTTGGGACGCTACTAAGCGCAATAGCGAATCTCCTGAGGGCCATTCAGCTGAACGTACGGCCTTATCCGACGAGTCGGTCCGACTTCATGGCAAAGCAGCACTCCTCGGCCCCGATTCCTGTCCGACTAAATCTGCTATGACGAGCACGAGACAAGGCTCGTTTCATTCAGCTATTCATGTAAATTTCCTTTAGCTTAGCCTTATTATGAGCATCTTACAGCCTAGGATCTGACGGGATGCCTCTCTTCCGAAGATCTCCTCCAACTTGCAGCCACCGGGACATATCACGATGGCGGCGATGCTACCTCTCACAACGGTCATCTTCAAGTTGATCCACAAGTCTTTCCTGAATTGTACAGCGCTTCGTTTGCATGTCTTTCATTCTACAGGATACGCGTGCGCGGTATCGGTATAACCATATGCGGACCTTCCCGAACCCAGCTACACCCCATTTGGTGCCGCGCTCTTGCCTCGCGAAAGATTCCTTGCGAGCCCAAGCTCCGACATCTTCCTGCGGCTGCCTCCGTATAGACCGTGAGGGAAATGATTCGAGCATCGCCGTGCCGTGCATGAATCTACTTATACACCACTCCTTCAGTACGTACTGATGTATCATTACCCTCCATAAACGAAGACAGCACATAACAGGGAGAAAAGAGATTTCTGTAAATTCATGTTGGTCACGACCCCAGAGAACTCGTGCAAAATATACTCGATCCAACATCCAGGAAGACGTAAATGCGGCAGATTACCACCACTTCTGCAAGAACTCTTCGATCGGCATAGGCTGGACTTGAGGACAAAGATCGTTGATATTCTTGCCTTCGTATCCCGCGGGATTGCCCTTTAAGACCTCCAGCCACCACTGGGCGAACATCTTCTGAAAATCAAGCGGTTTGTCGCGCCGCTCCTCAATGATCTTCAGGAGCTGTTCCTTGGACAAGTACGTCGTCTCAAACTTCTTGCCTGTAAGGAAACTTTAGCCCGGTCGCGCGGAGTCTCCTGCAGAAATACTCGCCACGTGCGTTCTCTGCGAGCCCCAGGATCTCGTTGTACGTCTTTCGGTCACCTCTCATTTGGCTGTACTGTGGCCATTCGTTCAAGTTGAGGCTGGCCGCGACGAACCGCCCGACGTCCTCGATGCGTGTGTAAACGACGGGCGCGGAGCCGTCGCCTGGGATCGTCGCCTTGCATTTCTCAACGTCAAACATGAACTTCATCGGGGGCAGGTGCCCGACACCCGCGGTACCGCTCGCGAGGGTGTTCATGTATACGCCGACCTCGAAGATGGTATGTTCGAGCCCGCTCTTCATGACCGCCTCCGCGACGGGCCATTTGTTGCGGTAGAGCTCGATGGGGTTGTCAGGGATCGAACGCGTGCCGAACTCGCTCGGCGCAAAGCGCTTCACGCCCGCCTTGACTGCGGCATCAAGGAGTGCGAGCTGCGGTTTCGTGATTGTGTCCGCGGTGAGGCCGCTGATCGTCGAGATGACGGTGTGCACTCCCGCGAGGGCCTTGGCGAGCGCAGCGGGGTCGTCGTACGAGACGGTGACGATCGGCACGCCGAGCTTCTCAAGGACAGGATTCGTGGCCTGGCGGGAGAAGACGACGACCTCGTGCCCGCCGGCCTCGACGATGCCCTCGACGATATGCAGGCCGGTGTGGCCGGTGCCTCCTGCGACGACGACTTTGACCATGGTATTGGGGAGGGCGTGGCCGTGTAGATGACGGGAACACTGGATACATCGTCCGCAGAGATGGTGTGATACTTTTATATCTTTGTACCGCCAGCATGCCGTTTTCTCATGCCTGATGAATCAGGTAGTATCTGCGGTACCGCTGCAGGCGACCTCCCAGCTAGATCATCGGCGGCGTTAGGTTTCCTGCATTGTGTTCGTGCCTTGAAATTAACTTCATGCCAGTGAACCTTCGCTCCCACCCAACATTAACGAGCAGCCTAGGCCCTCTGCTGCGGTTCCGGCGAGTGAGTCATCGTTGAGGCAACTAGGAATATCTTCTATTATTCCCTCGGCATTCGACAGCAGAAGCGACCTGCACATCGCTCAATGCCAGAGCGCTGGTAACGGACTCGAGAACGCGAAGGAAGCGTAGCGTATTGTTTGAAGAGAGCGGAAGTTGCCGAAGTAAGTACGGTTTCTTACTGGAATCAGGAAAGCAGTTGAACAATGTGTTTACCCATCTCATTACGTCATATTCACACGCTCAGTTCAACTCGTTAAGTTGCCGACATTCACCACGGTCTTGACAAACCGAGCTCACACTCTGACTTGACGCGCATGCTCTGAGCTCTCCCGTAATATACAATGCTCGCGTTGGCATACCGCCAATATTGGGGCAACCACAGACTGCTTCTCACACCTGCTGGTGACGCTCTGGGACCCACTCACGAAAGGACACCGAATGTTGCATCCGTGGGCTGAAATGTTCGCGCCTAGGCTGCTACGCTCTGAACAAGACCGTAAGCATACGTCCTGCTCTCGCGTCTAATCGGCACCCGTACCACAACGGACACCGGAGCGCACGTCTACATCTCCGTCCGCGGCACAAGTTCAGATTCGCTCCAAGACCGGTCCGACACACGCTGCGACAAGCCCTTGCACCAACCCTTTCACCCGTCGAACGTTTCTTCCTGCAGGGGCTACTGGAGTCGTCGGATGAGGTGAGGGAGTGGTTGAAAGTAGACGATGTCCTATTCGTTGGAGACGTTGGAGAAAGACACCCTCGGGCGATATTGCAATGTCAGCGTTAACAAGGTGAGATTTTTTTCCCGCCATGATGCTTATTAATCTGATCAATGGCCCAGTTTCGCACACTTGGCAAGGACCCCCTAACGGCAGATGGCTGAATACCGATGCGCCTCGCAGCAACAGGACTGAAGTCAACTTCTTTGACATTGGCTGAACGATGTCAAGTTTGTCGTGTGCTTGTCGTTGTAGACTCACTTGGCCGGGATTCATGAAAGTGTTACATGAGGATGCTGCTAGATGCTACTGCTTTCGTTGGAGTGGGCAACGCGTCCACATTTGGAAGGCAAGTACGTTCAGAGCTACCCTCATCGCCAATGTCAAATGCGTTTCGTAACACGACTTGGGGATTCGACACAAAAAATTAGACGTAGAAGTCAAGGTCCAGGCCAGAGGCAGCACGGCAAGTTTCGCCGAAACTGCCCGGACCCATTCGACTTCTGTGCCCTTGTCGCATGTTAGCGAGCTTCGTAGTCGCCATATCGGAGTTGATGTCGCGAGGAATATGCTTGGTCAGCGTCGTCCCACCAGGCCCGCAGCGGTACTCGTGAACATCAGAGATATCTTGCACCATCGTTCGAACCTTGGGAGGGCTATGGGAACTCGAGAATCAGGGTCTCCTTGTGAACACATTTTCTCAAGGTAGCATAACTACTGATGGCTCATTGACCAGATGCGGACCATGTTGGGCTTGACAACAGCGGGGTCGAAGACCGACGGAAGAACCAGACAGGCGTACGTGTACCACGGCATAGCCGGGCTATGAGTCAGCGAAGGCGCTGTCCAGCACACCATTGTGTCTGCAATGGGGCCCAGTATAAAGGCAGGGGCATATAGGATGGAAGAGGAGCACTACATTGTAAAGCCTCTACACACCGCTTCACTATCACACACTCACAACAATGGTCAAAGTCGCAGTCGCAGGAGGCACCGGTGGTATCGGCCTCCACATCGTCGAGGCCATCGTCGAGGCCGGCAACCACGATGTCATCGTCCTCTCCCGCCGCCCGAGCCACCCCGTCCTCGACAAACTCGGCGTGCCCATCGTCGCCGTCTCGTACAACGACCCCGCCGCGCTCGTCAAGGCCCTCGAGGGCGTGCACACCGTCATTTCGACCATCGCCGGCCCCGGTGCGGACGCCTTCACGGACGCGCAGCTCGCACTGCTCGATGCGGCCGTCAAAGCTGGCGTGACGCGCTTCGCGCCGAGCGAGTTCGCCGCGCGCTCGGCCGCCGACAATCCCATCGAGATCTACCGAGCCAAGTGGCCCGTCACGGAGGCGGTGAAGAAGAGTGGGCTCGAGTACACGATCTACGAGGTCGGCATGTTCATGAACTACCTCGCGAGCGGCACGCCGGGCCTCGGGCACCTGGACCCGCTCACGCTGATATTCGACGTCGAACACTGCAAGGCGACGCTCCCTGGTGACGGTTCTGCGTACTTTGTGCAGACGCGGGGGGAGGACATCGGGAAGTTCGTCGCGGCGAGCTTGGACTTGGACAAGTGGCCCGAGTTCAGCCAGATCAGGGGAGACAGGAGGAAGCTGAACGAGATTGTGCAGCTGGCCGAGCAGGTCCGAGGTGAGCTCGGCAGGCTTTATCGCAGCGTAATGACGGCTGCTGATTATCTCCCTCACAGGCCAGAAATTCGATGTGACGTACTTATCTGAGCAGCAACTACTGGAGACCATCAATTCGAGCAGCCCGGGAACGCTTAAACACCCCGACGAGAGGTTCGCTGCGCTTGACATGGAGAAGATCCTGGCCCAGTGGTTTCTGCAGACCTTGAGGAGCAACCCGTTGGGATTTGAGGGCAAGAATATTAACGAGCTTCTCCCTCAGGTGCAGCCCGTGGGAGTCCCCGAGTTTCTGCAGCAGTGGTGGGGAAAGAAGTAGTAAACTAAACATTCGCGTAGCCCTGTACAGTTTGCCTGCTGAGACCACCGGAACGTTCGTGATACAAATGACGAGAAAATAACGAGAAGCACCTATTTGCGTGTTGTATCGCGACTGTGCGATGCCGGTTTGAATGCACCGCGGTTTTCGAAGTTGAGGCTCTCGCAAATCAGCCGGGCGACGCTATACCAGTGCTTCGCGGCTCCTCCCATGATCTTTACCCCGCATAAGCCTAGTACTACAAGATGAATCCTCTGCTCGACGTACCAATCTTCGCTCGCGCTATCCAGGCCCGCATTCGACGCAGACACGCTGGACGGGATCTGGACGGGCAGCATGTATGTACGAGTCTGGAGCACGGACAACAAGGAGGTGCCTGTGCACCTTTGCGGGAGACTGGATTACCTAAATGTGTGAAAGTAGCGCTATCAGAACGGCGTACGTAGAGCCCGTCGTGCGTTCGCTGTTGCATACCTAAGCTACTTGAACAGATCTAGGGCAGGAGCCTGCGTGTGTTAGGCGGGCAGAGCTATAACTTGAAGTACGTCTGAAATATCTTGTATGACTCATCAACGTTTGCCCACTTCAGAAGATGAAACTGCTACCATGCGCTGCGTGCGTACATCAAACGGTCCCGGCCAAGTTTCCGGCCGAGTCCGGTAATTGAGACATTCACACTGCGTTCGTGCCAGAAATCGCCATGTAACGGGCATCTCGAATTGAAGAGCAAGGGATTGCACTGCCGCTGTACTATCACTCGCTCACCACGGTCAAAGTCGCCGTCGCAGGAGGCACCAACGGCATCGGCCTGCACATCTTCGAGGGTATCGTCGAGGCCGGCAACCACGACGTCATCGTCCTCTCGCGCCGCGCAGACCACCCGGCGCTCGAGAAACTCGGCGTGCGCGTCTTCGCCGTCTCGTACGCCGACCCCGCCGCGCTCGTCGTGGCACTCGAAGGCGTGCACACCGTCATATCGGCGCTAGGGCGCGCGTCGACGGACGCGCAGCTCGCACTGCTCGACGCGGCCGTCAAGGCGGGCGTGACGCGCTTCGCGCCCAGCGAGTTCGTCGTGCGCTCCATCGCCGACAACCCCGTCGCGCTCTTCTGGCCCAAGTGGCCTGTGCTCGAGGCGGTGCGCGCGAGCGGGCTCGCATACACCACGTTCGAGGCCAGCATCTTCATGAACTACCTCGCGATCAGCACGCAAGGCCTCGGGCACCTGAAGCCGCACAAGTACATGTTCGACGTCGAGCGCTGCGCGGCGACGATACCCGGCGATGGCTCTACGTACTTTGTGCAGACGCGCGCGGAAGACGTCGGAAGGTTCGTCGCGGCGAGCTTGGACCTGGAGGAGTGGCCCGAGTTTAGCCAAATGAGGGGAGGCCGGAGGACGCTGAACGAGATCGTGCGGCTAGCCGAGAAGGTCCATGGTGCGTTCTGTAGTCTCTGGTTGTTGCATAGGAATGGCGTCTGATCTTCTCCCGCAGGCCAAAAATTCGATGTGACACACCTGTCCGAGCAACAGATACTCGAGACCATCAACTCGCGCAGCCCAGGAGCGCCCGGACGTCCAGACGGGAAGCCCACTGCGAGTGAGGTTGAGGTGGCTCGGGCCCAGTTGTACCTGCAGATCTTGAGGAGCAACCGGACGGGATACGAAGGCAAGAACCTCAACGAACTTTGTCCTCAGGTGCAGTCCACGGGAGTCCCCGAGTTCTTGCAGCAGTGGTGGGGAAAGCAGCAGTAGAATGAGCATCTGCAGGGTCTTGCAGAGTTTACGTGCTGCTTTTTCGAGACTGGGACCGCCGGAACAACAGCGATACATCTAGCAAGAAAGCTATCAAAAGTACCAAGTAGTCTGTAGGAAACGCGACTAGCATGATGCCCGCCCGAGCACGCAGCCCTCGAGATCGCCAGCTTCACAGATGACTGATATAAGTGACTACGTTATGTCAATGTTTTAGTAGACCAAGCCCCGGGTCATAGCTTCCATCACGTACGTTCGACCTGTCATGGTTGCTGTTTAGGACTGACACTGCAGGGTAAGCCTGGAATTCCCAAGCTATGATATCCATTTCGCTGTTTATCTGACTAGTGGCCTGGTTCCGTAGGACCCACAAGATGTCTTGATGATGGATGACAAGGACGAGGCTTCTACATATGAAGTTGCTCGGGTTGATTGATAAGTTTGGTGTATACATCCCGACTGAGTCAGAGCCTGGGGAAGCTATCACAGTCTGGGTGTTAGACAACTGAATACCAGCGCGCTCACAGGCTCTAGTGATGTGCGGGCCGGGCCTCAAAGCCTCCAAGCCCGCCAAGCCCGGCCCAAAAAGCCTGGCCCGAGTCAAGCCCGGCAGCGGGCTCAAGGCCGGGCTCGGAGCGTAGTCAAGCCCAAGCCCGGCCCGGAAGCCCAGGCTTGGGTGTGCTGGCTCCGTTACCGTTCCCTGAGTTCAGAATGAGGAGAGAGCGACCTAATATGCACATAGAAGACAAAATGTAGATATTCTAGATGTAACGGCTCCCGCCGAGCACGATTGTGCGTCACCATCTGGTGCCTGCCGTAGGCGCACGCTCGTGGACTTCGCTGCGACTCGACTTGTTCCGCAGATGTAGATCTTCTGGAGGTTATAATTTAGTGAGTACATGCAGTATTAATCTACTACACCCAAATACATTCCCTTTTGATAGCACCGGAACACTCGTTGTATTGTGAGCAAGCCCGGGCTTAAGCCCAAGGCTTGGGCCGGGCTCGGGCTCGGCTCGGGCTCAGGGCTCGGCTCGACGTCGCCACAAGCCCAAGCCCGGGCTTTGAGCCCAAGCCGGGCCCGCACATCACTACTTGCTTTTGCCAGTGCCGCACCGCAGGCGCCGTGCTCGGGGCTCATCGTCCCTTTGCAAAATTCAAGTGAAGGGGAGGCAGGCAGAAACCGCGCTGCATGTGAATGCGACCTTGGAGCCTCCCGTTCGCCATGTTCGCCCGCTTGTTTTGTCATAACAGCCTGACATCGGCTAAACAGAGAGCAGGCTAAGCAAAAAGCAGGTTGGGGCTATTAGGCGCACGAACACATTTAGGTGTCTCGGAGGACCCCTCGCTCGATGATCACCACACAGTAACCCAACCATTGCGCTTGCGCTGGAGACTAGTATAAAGGCAGAGGCACCCAGGACAGAAGAGCAGCATCGTGTCGTAAAGCTTCTACACACCGCTTCACTATCACACACTCACAACAATGGTCAAAGTCGCAATCGCAGGAGGTACCGGCGGCATCGGCCTCTACATCGTCGAGGCCATCGTCGAGGCCGGCAACCACGACGTCATCGTCCTCTCCCGCCGCGCGAGCCATCCCGTCCTCGACAAGCTTGGCGTGCCCATCGTCGCCGTCTCGTACGCTGACCCCGCCGCGCTCGTCAAGGCCCTCGAAGGCGTGCACACCGTCATATCGACCATCGGGGGCCCCGGCGCAGACGCCTTCACGGACGCGCAGCTCGCACTGCTCAACGCGGCCATCAAGGCGGGCGTGACGCGCTTCGCGCCAGCGAGTTCGTCGTGCGCTCGATCCCGGACAACCCCATCGCGCTCTTCCGGCCCAAGTGGCCTGTGCTCGAGGCAGTGCGCGCGAGCGGGCTCGAGTACACCGTGTTCGAGGTCGGCATGTTCATGAACTACCTTGCCGCCGGCACACCGGGCCTCGGCCACCTGGACCCGTTCGTATTCATATTCGACGTTGAACACTGCAGGGCGACGCTCCCCGGGGACGGTTCTGCGTACTTTGTGCAGACACGGGCGGAGGACATCGGGAAGTTCGTCGCGGCGAGCTTGGACTTGGACAAGTGGCCCGAGTTCAGCCAGATCAGGGGAGACAGGAGGAAGCTGAACGAGATTGTGCAGCAGGCCGAGCAGGTCCGAGGTGAGCCCGACAGGTTTTATTGTTAGGTAAGAGCAGTGGTTGATCGTCCCACCTCACAGGCCAGAAATTCGATGTGATGTACTTATCTGAGAAGCAGCTACTGGAGACCATCAACTCGAGCAGCCCAGGAACGCTCAAACACCCCAGGGAAGGACTTGCTGCGCTTGACATAGACAAGATCCTAGCCCAGTTGTTTTTGCAGGCATTTAGGAGCAACCAGATGGGGTATGAGGGCCAAAACCTCAGCGAACTATGTCCCCAGGTGCAACCCATGGGAGTTCCCGAGTTCCTGCGGCAGTGGTGGGGAAAGAAGTAGTCAATCAAGCATCTGCATAGTTTCTGTAAAATAACTTATCATTGGATTGTCGCTGAGACCACCGGAAAATTCGCAATGCATCTGGTGAGACAGTAGCGACCGATTCGCTTGTTGTAGGTGGGACTGCGCGCTGCCGACTCGAGCGCGACGAGAGCAATGGAACCGAAAGAGTCTCGGTCCTCGGAAATCCTTTGTCGGGCCCTTAGAGTCACGCTCGGTTGATTCATGGGCTTCTAAACATCAGAATTCGGCGAGTTTTGGTGGATTAGCTTTGACTGAGCACGCGCTGCTGTACCTGATTTGGTAGCCCGCCACTCGTCGTGACCCGTCGCGTATAGGTATCATGCCTGCGGCCGTCCGTAGCATATTATTCAGATGCCGTGTCATTTCTCCAGGTTTCCCAAGCCGTCGCTGGCAGATCCCTTCTTGCTGATATTCAATTCCGCCGACTCTAGAGCTGTTCCTCAGGCTTGTACGACAGCTCAAGCAAACAGTCAGCCACCAGTACGCCCAGCCATCGTACATGCCGGAGCCACCCCCGTCGTTGCCGTTGAATATCCAGAACTTGAGAAAGCTGTCAAAGTTCTGTGGGAGGCAGCATGGGCACTGGAGTGTTGACGAGAAGGCACCTGAGAATCGAGATCGCCGAGAAGGCACCTGAGAAAAATGCTTTCTGACAGATCTTACAGACACCTGTAATGTATGCTCGTATCGGAACGTGGAGGAATGAAGTACGACGGGTGACAGGGAGGGAGATGTACGTGCAGGTCTGGGTGATGCGAGCACAGCGGGAGTTTGATGGCTTTGTGCGGCAGCGCTGTAGTTCTCGCACCTTGTTCATCAGACATTCTTCGTAAATTTGGAACGGCGGCTTGTATCCTTTAAAGACTACTGTACAGGGTCATACAAATGCACACATATTGCTACGAGCCTCCGTCATTTGTATCTGCAAGGTCACCGCCACTGGGAATAATACCAGCCAGTGACATAACGTCAAGGCCCATCTTCTTTACAACAAAATGACGTCCTTGGCATTGCGTTCAGTCTGGGATCAGCGATTATCGGATGCGGTACCATTGCGACAACGGACTTAAAGAAAGGCAGCACACGGGCGGCTCATAATTAGGTTATTTTATTGTGGAGACTGGGCCGTGCATTGTCGCTGCATACATGTACATACAACCATATGCGTTTGCCATGGGGAGACTTCTCTGACGGAGTCCGACCGCGGCCACCGACTCACTCGCGGTCTGTACAAGGTCTGATCACATTGAGTACAGCGGCGGACAGGTGTCTGGGTTCGTAGCCGAGGCTCTGGAGTGATTACACGACTCTGGAGGTGCTGTGTGGTCCTGATGATGCTGGTGTCAGCGCCCGGTACCGCCAGACACTTTCCAGCGCCTCCAGACCCGCTGGGAAATTGCTGATGGGGAACATTATACAAGCAGTGTTACAAAAAATAAATATAGGTTCTTCTAGCACGAGGGGATATATAAATAAACCATACACCATCTCCTTTCCATTTCCCGAGACCCACAAAACCTACATCCCTTCTGCCACATTAGAGGTATGTGACCTGGACGCTCGAGTTCGTGATCGAGACGGTAGACAAATTAGTGCCGTGCTTCTGAATTTCGAAAATGGTTGCGCCAGAGAGGTCGAGAGAACCTGCAGCGGTCTCGGCAGATACACCAGTGAAGTCGACCGTACCAAAATCGGCAAGGGAGGTGTTGAGTTGATCTATGATAAAGTCTGCCTCCGCCATGCACAAAGTGCCGGAAGCGATGACCACGGAGATGGTCTGGTTCGTGTTCTGGTTGGTATAGACTGACGTACTAGACGTCGCATTTGTCGCGGTGACGCTTACAGTAATGTTGTCGCCCTCCGAGATGATGAAGTCCGAGGGGGAGATGGAGCCGCTAGGGAAAGCCGAGGTATCGACTGTGAGGATATAGATGGTTTGTTAGCATGCGAGGAGGGCACGGAGCGCGGACTGACTACTAAAGGTCACTGAACCATTCTGGATGTAGGAGCCGACACCACTCAGGACGCCGCCGGTCAAGCAGAGCTGCCAATCAATGCCGACCGTGCTGCTGAAGGAATAGAGACCAGTCGGATCCTCGCCCTCAGGCACACTAGGCGCCGTAGCCACGAACGACCCGGTGGCACCTGTGATCGTACCCTATGCGGAAGTCAACACACATGTCGCACAGAGACATAAGGAGAGACTCACTGCAGCCCCGGTCACGGCGGCGCCAGCTGCAAATGGGTTGAACTGAATTTGAGAGTTATCCGCCGGATCGGCCCTCGACATGATTTTGCCGCGGGCACGACGAGCGATGCGGTCCTCGCCGCGGGCCTTGGGGGACGGCATCGAGACAGCAGTCGTTGCAGCGAGAGCCAGGACAAGAGAGGTGATGAAGTACATGGCGGTGTGAGCGGTGTGGGGTCGAAAGAGCTGTGAGGCTGTCGAGTCAAGGAAGGCGAGGAATGTGTGGTTTGGCTATGGCGGTCGAGCGAGCTTATATACACCGAAGGCCTGTCCAGCAAGCACCTACGCGCCATGAAGATCCTGCGGTGCACCATCATGCACAGAGCTTCGTGAGGCGGGGCGGGGTCTCATCACGATCGCGGCCGTTGCGACTCAAAATGTCGCAAATCAGGGTTTGCATGGTTTGGCTTAAGACTGACTTTGATGGCGATTTAGACCTTCAGGCATTGGAGGACAGCCTGAAGAGGATCGGTTTCGAGCCTTGAAGCGACGTTTCGGACGTTTCAGACGGGATTGGGTGTGAAAGTGCGACTGAACTCTTACTTTATTCTGTGCTACAGGGCCAGTATACATGTGAGTCAGGACCTCTGATACCGCTATAAGACCTATGGTACTGTGAGCGTAAGCATGTATACTAAGCATGAGTAATCAGATGTCGTATTACTACAAGATAATAAAGGGATCATGTGATGATATTCCCATTAGTCCGTACAGGGCAATGACGTAATCGCCCAGTTCTGACATTGGGTTGACACAGCAGCCAAACTGGATGCAGGTTTTGCCTTACTGTACCAAGACAAGAGCAAAACTCGCAACCTACATTTGTCTGTAAAAGATACCGTACTGGATACATGTCACAGTTCAAAATTAACGCTCACGCGCGTTTCATGGATGCCCCGCCCCCTCACTTCACACCCCCTTGAAGCGTGCCTGAATCGGCTTCAGTTTGGACTCGCTTTGACAGCAGTTTGACATTGGTTGAAGAGACTGGCACGGTTTCGGGTCTTAAAGCGACGAATCATGCAGAATTTCCTGTCTTCCAAGGCGGCTCGCACGCCAATGTCCAGTCTAATGAAGTGGAGCAGAGTAACAGCTGTGAGCGTGGTGCTTGGCGTGGTGACACGACCGGCTCGCAGTCAACGCGGTCTGGAGCAGAGCGTGTCAAAGCGCCCATAGCGAAGTCGATGAGGTATGGGACCCTAGGAGGCGGCGCAGAGGCCAAGCCGGCGTGTTTCAGGTCGAGGTAGCGGGAGAGTGCTCTAGGCGTCGAAATACGACGAGGACGATAGATTGGGCTATATTGATCCCAAACACATTTCACACAGGGTATGTACAACTACTTTCTGCATACTTTCTGCTAGAACAACTTTTCACTGGGGATTACGCATTATGATTATGCCCTCGGAGCTTCTCGTGAGCCCGGCAGAGCCCAAATATTGCGAGTGCGCTGCCCTCCAAATTGGGAAAGCGCGCCGTATCCATGCGCTGCAGGCCACGATTTGGGCACTTATTATGCGCCGCTTGAGCTTCTATATCGCTGCTGCATGCTATTTATAGTAAAAGTATTCAGTTCATGTTCTTAGTTCAATTCATATGACCTACATAAGCATACTGCCGAATATTTAGTGCATGAAGATACCTAATTGAGGTAAAGTGTATTTGCGGAACCGTCCTGTATCCACATTATCCTCATATAAAATAAAATTACAGCTAATAGAGAGAATAATGTTATTCTCGACGGTCTTGGCCAGGCAGGGAGCAGGTCGAGTGAAGAACATGGTTAGGGTTATTGGGCGCCCTGAACTCGGGCATCTCGGGCATCTCGCGGTGATCGTCTAGCGAGGGCCCACCGCAGTACCTATCACTGCGTCTGCGCCGCAGACCAGTATAAACGCAGAGGCACCTAGAATAGAAGACCAGCATCAAATAGTAAAGCCTCTACACGCCGCTTCACCATCATACGCTCACAACAATGGTCAAGGTCGCAGTCGCAGGAGGCGCCGTCGGCGGCATCGGCCTCTACATCGTCGAGGCCATCGTCGAGGCCGGCAACCACGATGTCGTCGTCCTCTGCCGCCGCGCGAGCCACCACCCCGTCCTCGACAAACTCGGCGTGCCCATCGTCGCCGTCTCGTACGCCCGACCCCGCCGCGCTCGTCGGGGCGCTCGATGGCGTGCACACCGTCATATCGACCATCGCCGGCCACGGACGCCTGCAACAGACGCGCTAGCTCC